CATTTCTATGAGAAGATTATCTCTTCTAGGACGGAGAACCCATGGTCATCCCACAGTCTTGATCTCAGTGCCCCTGACTTCTATATATGGGGTTGTTCAAAGGATAATGTGTATGAAAATAACCCTACCGCAATTGCAGAACTCCAACAAGCAATGGCTGCAAAAATTTGAGCCATAAACATGGGGAAAAATGTATCCGTGTTATGAACAGTTTTCCTTGAACATTGCAAGTTTGTTTTCAGTGAAATTGACGACATCTGGAGCATATTTTAAAACAACCATAACTCTATCAATATAAGACTAAGATTATCAAAACTTTGCCAGATGATCCCACATTGAATGAAGTACTTGTGTGCCAAATCTCAGAGCAATTTACCTCCATTTAAGAAAAATATTGAAGAAATGGAGGGTTGCATTTTTTTGGGTCACCCTGTATTACATAATCTATTGCTATCCTAATTTTCTATTTGGATATGAGGACCTTCTTGTGTTCTTGTCTGATTCTCCAATTAAAAAAATAGCAAGGCATGATTTTTATGAACAATAGCGACACAACAGAACATTGACATTTGATATTGGAAAATTATTAAAAGAGGAAATAACTAGATTGGTCCAAAATATTTTAGATAGGCAGGTTGAGGCCTAGATACAGGGCAGATTCCTCCACACGTCATTATTTTTTTTTGATTGTTTTGATCAATACTCTTCTGAGCATGATTTATGTTGGTTCAATCTCCCGTTGTCTAATAATGGTGATTCATGAAAATTCGATTGATGGTTATGTCATATGGTGATTTTTACTTATTAAAATGGCCTTGATATCTCCTCATCCTTTAGAATTGCTTTCATAAGAAAAAGCAACTTCTTTGAAATAAGTGAAACTATTAAGCAATTCATTTCAACTTCAGTACTGAAAATTGAAACCTGCCAGTTGGTAAATTGATTGAGGCTATGTAATTATTGAAGTGTCAGTCTTTGTGTCTCATTAAGCTTTAGAAAATACTGACGTAGACCTTCTTGTTAAGAACTACATTATAGCATGTACAGTGATACCTGTATATCCGAACACCTCTCTAATCAGAACATTTTTCAATGTGAACACTTTTTCTTGGTCCCAAATTTATTACCTTCCATTGTCTTAGGATCACCTGGACCTTCTTGTTAAGAACTACATTATAGCATGTACAGTGATACCTGTATATCCGAACACCTCTCTAATCCGAACAGTGTTCAATGTGAACCCTTTTTCTCGGTCCTAATTTATTATCTTCCATTGTCTTAGGATCACCTGGACCTTCTTGTTAAGAACTACATTATAGCATGTACAGTGATACCTGTATATCCGAACACCTCTCTAATCCGAACAGTGTTCAATGTGAACACTTTTTCTCGGTCCTAATTTATTATCTTCCATTGTCTTAGGATCACCTGGACCTTCTTGTTAAGAACTACATTATAGCATGTACAGTGATACCTGTATATCCGAACACCTCTCTAATCCGAACAGTGTTCAATGTGAACACTTTTTCTCGGTCCTAATTTATTATCTTCCATTGTCTTAGGATCACCTGGACCTTCTTGTTAAAGATCTTATAGCAAAGGTTTTGCAAAAATAAATCAATGTAGTATAAAACAAATGTATGTATAATGAAGAAATAAATATATAATGAAAAAAATAGATATCTGTTTGTAATATTGGTATAAACTTAAGATTAAAAAGTGTCACTATCTCTTTCACTTTTCAACAAATATAGGCTCACGTGACATGTGACGCGGGGCAGGCAATTTTGATCTATCGTAGACCATATCAGTATCAAATTGCTGATATTTCAACCTCGTCTTGCGAGGCCATTTTGATTTGAAACATCTTGAATTTGGTGTCAAAATGAAGCTGGTCACGCCCACTTTCAGAGTTATCGATGAATCATTTACTACGACTACTATATTCATTTAGGACGCGTGTAAAGTTAACCAATCAGAAAGACAATTGTTCCATATATGGCAGTTCATTAACATATTCAGTGTTTACTACTGCTTTTCGCGTCATGACAACACGAGTAGTAACCAATCAAGATGCCGTATTTTATCACGTGAGTTCAGAGTGACACGCACGCGACATGTTGTCTGAGGTGATCGCGATGTTGAACAATTTCTTCTCGGAATTTGTCCAGAGAAATCAGCGATTCTAAATTAAGGTAGGATCTGCCATTTTTCCTGTACAAGTTATAACTTATCTCTATCGAATCCTAAAGTTTTGGAAGAAGATATGAAGCGTAGGTTTAAAAACGAAGCGATTAATTTGACGATCTGATTTTGCAATTTGCAATGGCCAATTTACTGCAAGTCCAGTGCATGTATTTGACAAGAGATAGCGCCAAGTCTTGTATCTAAATGCTTGTTAAGCCACTCAAAAACAAATCTAAATTTGATAACTTTGCAGAAAACCTGTTTTCATAATCTGTTTTCCGCGTCTAGATTCAAACTGAGTATGATAATAGGATCGCTGGAATCTTCAGTCAATGGCAACGGGTCTTCATTCCAGAACTCACATTTTTAGTTGATTCTCCGTCATAGTTCTTGTCTAAAGTCCCCATATCTGCTCTCTTACTGCCATACTTGCACACATTTTCCCTCCTTAATTGTCTTCATTCAAATTACACCCTCTCACCGATTTATATAGCCATTTCCCAGAACCCGGGAATCAGAATCGCTGATGTTTGCCATATTGAACATATTATATGTACTGTAATATCTGTACATTGCCTGCTACGCGTAATGGTCACGTGACTAGCGCGATACAGGAAAAATTGGGAATTTCGAAACAACAATTTATGGGCACTTTTATTGCAAATTTCAGGAATTATAAAGTGTTTGTGGTATAAAATATAATCCACAGACAAAAATGAACATCCAAACTACATATTTCATTAAGTTTTGGAGCCTTTTTTGCTCTTAAATTAACATCTTTAAGAACTACATTATAGCATGTACAGTGATACCTGTATATCCGAACACCTCTCTAATTCGAACAGTGTTCAATGTGAACACTTTTTCTCGGTCCTAATTTATTATCTTCCATTGTCTTAGGATCACCTGGACCTTCTTGTTAAGAACTACATTATAGCATGTACAGTGATACCTGTATATCCGAACACCTCTCTAATCCGAACAGTGTTCAATGTGAACCCTTTTTCTCGGTCCTAATTTATTATCTTCCATTGTCTTAGGATCACCTGGACCTTCTTGTTAAGAACTACATTATAGCATGTACAGTGATACCTGTATATCCGAACACCTCTCTAATCCGAACAGTGTTCAATGTGAACACTTTTTCTCGGTCCTAATTTATTATCTTCCATTGTCTTAGGATCACCTGGACCTTCTTGTTAAGAACTACATTATAGCATGTACAGTGATACCTGTATATCCGAACACCTCTCTAATCCGAACAGTGTTCAATGTGAACACTTTTTCTCGGTCCTAATTTATTATCTTCCATTGTCTTAGGATCACCTGGACCTTCTTGTTAAGAACTACATTATAGCATGTACAGTGATACCTGTATATCCAAACACCTCTCTAATCTGAATACTTTTCAATGTGAACACTTTTTCTCGGTCTCAAATTTATTATCTTCCATTGACCTAGGATCATGTAGAACAAACCTTGAAATGTGAACACCTGCTAATCCAAACTCTTTTGGCTTGTTCCAGAGACGTTCGTATTAGACAGGTTTTACTGTATGGTAATCATAATTTTATGGTTATGTTATATTTTTTCAAAGTGATAAGTAGGTTGTAAAAAATATTGTAGAGCTTAACTAAAACTAATATACTGATCTTCTTTATACAGTGGCACTATTGTCTGTACTATAATGAAATGGATCCTTCACTAATATATTGAAATATAATTCCGTATTGAGTGTAGGAGTTCATTTTTATTATAATGGTCATAGGAGGGGTACTATTCTAAAAGGCTTATGACAATGAAACAGACTCAATTACAATGATATGTTATATTGAAACATTAACTTAATTCACAATATCATCTCTGTAGTGAAGATGTATGGATTTAGGGGCACTATTCTGAAAGGCTTATGACATTGAAACATTGACTCAATAACCCAGATGCGAGTAGAAATAATCTTGATTTATGTCATTAAAAATTCAGTCAAAGTAATATCATATTTGAAATCTACATGTAAAATTACATCTAGAAATGTGGTTTTAAAAAGTGTTTATCAACTTTGAAAAATTAATTTTCTTTGAAAATGTGACTTCTAGCTCGGGGAGATTCCCCATAGATCCCATGCTATAAAATCACAAAAAATGAAATATCTTTTCTTTTAGTAGACAGATAATATTTTGCTTTGCTGGACATATTTTCATTAGTATAAGAATCAGACACATAAGGGTTACATGAAAATTGAGCCACTTAAATTGATAATATTCAAGTTTAAGGGAACTTTCTTATATACCTGCCATGTTAATTGACCCGAATCAGCCACCTGGTGGTGAAACTGGTAACTACCAACTCGCATTTGGGTAATTATAAAGATATGATATATTGAAACATTAACTTAATTCACAATATCATCTTTGTAGTGAAGATGTATGGGTCTTGGGGTACTTCTCTATATTCAGGTCATAGGAGGAGCACCTTATAGAAGGCTGATGATAATGATAAATTATAACCACCTTGCCAGGCCAGTTCTAGGGGTATTAGTGCTAGTTTAGGAGGCATTTGTTTTACTGTATCAACCTGAGTAATATGTGACGTCATAGTGGCGGGCCATAGTGGTGGGCCAATAATGCGTTAACGTCTGGCAATTTTCCCCGAGAAATTAGATATAATTCATTGCGTAAGATTTTCTTGTTATTTCAGCCCTGGGCATTGACGGTGGTCCAATATTACTATATTATCACTATATTGCCCTTCGAAATGACATTATTGTTCTATTGAAACATTAACTTAATTATAATATCATCTCTCTATTGCAGATGTATGGAGTCTTGGGGTACTTCTCTATATGCTGGTCGTAGGAGAAGCGCCATTCCAAGAGGCCAATGACAGTGAAACATTAACTATGATTATGGACTGTAAATATAGAATACCAGAGACGATGTCACCGACTTGTCGAAGGTAAGAAAATCATGTTGAAATGTTAAGCTTTTAATAATTGTATTATGATTCATGTGTTAGGAATCTTTATTGTCATGTCAGTTTTCAATGAATCTTACGGATGTATATCTGATTCAGCTTCCAATTAAGTATTCTTTATTTGAATTGCATAGTCAGGCGCCAACAGCTTTACCACCACATATTGTGCAATTACCAGGAGGTGGCTGTATGGAAATACATGTGGTAGGGCTGATACCATCCTCCTTAGCAGGTATCCAGAATCCGTATCTCCTTCTTCCCCCTGCAATAACCAATTTGGAAGCGCCCGATTAAGCTGAATCATGTGATCTTATTATGCGCAATGACTTATACATGATTTCTGTCGCAGTATTGCGACAGCCAATCAGATTGCGAGCTCTTAATCGGGGAAAGGCTAACTGCCTATCGCAGGGGGTAAAAAGAAAGAATATATTCTGGATTTTGAAGCCCTGTGATCGGAGGATGGGCTGATACAGAACAAAATTATTGTCTAATCTTTCTGATATTACCCTTGGAAAAGTATATTTTGAATAGCTTATTCTATTCTCATTCTAAAAACATTCAATATCACCCCAAGAAAATGAAGTACTAAAAGGTTGTCAATGCTTAGACCTGAGCTTATAAGGGCTCCCCAAGAGGGGGGAGGGAGGTCACTTTAGTCACTTTTAAATTTTCAAAATTGTCATTCGTTAAATTAAAAATTTACTTCTCACATTTTGTCAGTTTTATTCCTTTTTAGTCAGTCAAACAATTTAATGGAACAAATGGCTTGTTATGTTCCATTTTTGATTACTGGTTTGAATAAGACACATTTACTTGCATATATTCACATTCAAAACAAATTTTCTATTTTTGTCACTCAGATTTTTGTTCAAAATTGTCACATGAAAGGCTATATCTGTTGCATTTGTTTGTTTTTAAATACCCCAAAGTCACATTTTTAAGGGCCAGGTTGCCTTATCACATACCCCTTGAGGAGCCCCTTTATATTATGTGGCAGAAGATTAGGCAATGTTTGAAAACTCTATGAGCCCAATGTTGTTTGTCAGTGTATTGTCAACCCCTTTTAACTGTATAACCCTATACATGAAATGCAATTAGATGAAAGAAAAGAAAAGCCATTTAAACATAAGAACAGAAATCTGCTTTGTATTCAGAGTTTCTCCACTTAATACAACAATTATTGAACACAGAATTTAACGAGCCTAAAACTACCAACAGAAATTGATCTTGTGTTTGATGTTTAGATTTTTATTCTTGGAGGCATTCTAAATAGAATGAACCATTATATACGTTAGCTTAATGTAATTGATATATGAACTTTGCTTTTAATATAATGGATGGTAGTAGATTTCCTCCCCCTCAGGGACAACTTATATGTAAATGTTACGCCTGGTCTATTTAGGTAAATTTACATTATAAACCTATTGTGTATCCAAGTTTAATGTTACCTAGACTAATTTGTCATTGGACGGATTGTGTAAAAATTTCACGCTGGATTAAATAACAAGCCAAAATATATTTGTCTTCTGAAAAAGTGCAATAACATTACAATATTTAATTGACCAGATGTGAAATTAGTACCATGTTTAACATATCAGAGGAAAATTGTATTTACATAAAGTGATCTTTATTGTTCAGAGAGAAAGGAGATTTCAAAGATATTCTTGTTTCTTAGTTTTCTGATTTTAGTGCCATCTTTTATCACTCGTCCCAGTTGCATTTTATTACATCCACCAGATGGCAGATGTGTCTTCAACCCCGTATCTATCATGATATTTTTTTTATTACCATTTATTATGTGTCACCACCACAAATGGTACCATATTGTTATAGTCTCCAGCTTTTTTGTGGCTGTTGTTTGGCAGTTAGTGTTTGATGGTTTGTGTTTGGCATTTGGTTTCTATAACAAATGGCAGGTGATAACATTTTGTATGTTAATACCTTGTATATATTTCCTTTCTTAATTGTGAATGAAACAATACCTGAGCTGGAAGTTAGGAACAATAAGGTATAATTATATCTTAAACATTTCTTATATTTACAGTTTAATTGACAAGATGTTGCGTCGAGAGCCCGAGGACAGAGCCAAACTGGATGAGATTATTTCAGACCCCTGGCTGATGATGGGGGACGCTAGTCCTGTTGTCATACAACCATTAATCTCCCGGCAACAAATCAATGAAGAATCCCACAAGGCTATTGTGCAAAAAATGGTAGAGAGGAATATAGCCTCCAAAGAAGATATTTTAAAGTGAGTACAGGACTAGTATATGTGAACGAATATCTTTGATCTTTTGATTTATTATATATCTCATTGCCTTCCATTTTGTCAAAATCTTTGAAGGTAGTTCTGCGATTTCACAAATGGTTGAACAAAAACTTGGGGATATGTCATTTCTGCATTTAGTCATAATATTTTGATTTTAAACTATCTCTGCACTTCACCAGAACATGTACCAGGTGTCCCCAAAAATTTGTACTCAAATTAAACAGAAAGAAGCCTTTCAGGTGTTTATGATAGATAAATTATCTGTTAGATGCCCAAATTCCAAGAATATTCCTTCATCACTTTCAGAGTTAGTCCATGTTCGTCTCAGTACATTTTTTGGTACACCCTGTACTCATCATTTGAAAAATATAAATATGACATCATCTCATAACTGAACAGTACATCTCTTAAGGCCAGAGTGAAGAATTATTAAACCTCAGTTGATAGTCTAGGTACACTATTGCATATTTTGTGCAAGAATGAAAGATGTATATGATGTGTGGAATGAGTTATGTTTAATAGCACATAGTCATGAAATTTCATCAAAGTGCACCCAACCTTAAATATTAATTGTGTTTTTCAGTTCAATAGAGAAAGATAAATATGACAATATCACTGCAACATACTACCTCCTTGCTGAGCAGACCCTCCGTAAACAACAGAAGCACGAACAGTCCTCACCCCGTCACAATTCCCCTCGTCAGAAATCAGCTTCGCCCTCAGATAATAAACCAAAGTTGGAACCGCTTGCTTTGTCTCCACGGTGAGTATTATAGGAAATTTGGTGCAGGAGCTACAGTATTCATGCAGCCTGCTTTTGAAATGGTGCTTTGAACTTTCATGGAATTGCCCAAATCTGATAACATTTTGAGCTGTTTAATTTCATGATCTAAAATTTTATTTCACATGTTTGAATGCATGAAAACCAAAAATAAAAAACGCAGGATACATTAATAATTAGTTAAAAGTAGACTAATAGATACTTCAATGTTGTCTCATAGGATGTTGTAACTCGAAGAATGAAATACTTCAAAAGTTAATTTTCCTAATTCTACTCATAATGCAAATAATGTTTGATAGGCTGTAACATAGGAGATGGAGTACCTATGGTTTGATTTCTCCCTAAAGTCAGTTCTAAAATGAGAAGTCGTTCTTTAGAATTAATTAAGCAAAAACATTAACAGAAATTTTTCCTAATTATAGCACCCAACAGCGACACCCTGGGAATATCAGTTCTCTTCTCCAAGATGAGATAGATGATGAGCCATGCGACACAAGGTTACCATGGTAACACTTTTTCCCCATAGCAATGGTGTCATGTACTCAATGGTGCATTGTTATTTATTTTTTTCAGTACCTACTGATTATATTTTTCAGTGTCTCCTGATTTTTATTTTCAGTCTTTTTTGTTTTATTTTGTAGAATTTAGTAACCATGGCATTTATTCTTGCCTCTTATGTGAGAATTTGTGAATGAATTCACTAATAGACTATTTTCTATGGATTGAATATACTATTGTTTACAAAATTGTCACATATGGTTTAGGGAACTCTATTTCAGCCATTTTGTTGTTCAGCGTTGCATTTGTACTTCTTACAGTCCATTTAAGAGGATCTAATTTTGCATTTTTATGTCACCACCATAATTAGTGACATATTATTACAGACTTATAGTCTCTAACTTTTTTGTGGATGGTGTTCAGCATTCGATGGTTAATGTTTTGTCGTTGGTGTTTGATGGTCAGTGTCTGTAACAAATGGCAGGTAGTGACATTTTGCATGCTAATGCCTTGTTGAACTTTTGTCATTTAGACTAAATTCTGGTAACACAAAATGTTGTTGCAGGAGAGCTGTTAATCAAAATAAAAAAGTACAATAGTTTATTGGAGTACAAAATAACAGGAATTTGAAATAAAAGTCTCAATGTAAATATCTATTCAAATCTTAGGGAATCTTGAAAATCCATACTTGCAAAATAGTTTTGATAAACAGAAGCTTAATTCTGATGAGTGAATTTTGATGAAGGCATTTTTTAAAAATGGTTGAAATAATATTTTAAACAATAAATATGATGTCATTTTTAAGTGCATTCATATTGGCTCATAGAAATTGGCTTCTGGCTTTTCACACTTTTTATGTACCATTTGAAAGGGTTTTAATCCACTGGGCGGGGAGGGGGGGAATCAGGACTTAATCAATTCAAGAATACAGCTTTGTTATATTTAATAATCATCAGTTGTTATTTGAACATTAAAGAGCTTCATGTTTATCAAAGAATAGTGTGTTCTGTTCAGAGATTACCAATTTCCCTTTGATAAAAGGTGTTACGTTTCCAAATGTATTATGTTTGAACTGAGTTCATAATAATGATCTGCAATATGCACCATCAATAGATATTTCTGTAATTATCGAACCTTTGAAAAAATAACTCTTTAGAAGTGAATAAAAAGATAAGTTGGAAAGTGTGAATAGTGGTAAGTTCTACTATAATGCTGATTATACACAGCAGGTTATGAAAGTAAAATTCTCATTCTATTTCTTCTATGGCTATTTCCCATGCGGCACTCCACGAAAATAAGTAAAATAAGGCATAACGCTTCTGATTTTACAAATTTTGCAATGGGACATTACAGATTTGTCAAATGTGAATTTCCCTGGATTTTTTTGAAAAGTGAACACCCCCTTGGCAAAAGCTGGCGTCAGGCCTGCTGTGCAAGTTTCAGATCATTATGAGTAAAAGTCATTTTTTGGTCATATAGGATCAGAATTACTGACACAGACTTTTAATGCCTTGTTTATGTGCAGTACCCAGTGTTTTAGAGATTACTTAATGCATTATAGAAACAGGTAAAGCTACATGGTTGCAATATCAGGAATCCTTAAAACACTAAGGTATAGTTATGTATATTTCTTTATTCATGGATTCTATTTTGATTTATCTAGTAATTAATTTTACTTTATCTCTGTTTTGCTTAGGTATCAGTCAATCTTCGTTTGTTTAACTGTGTAAAATGAGTATAGTAAACAGGCATGGGGTCAGGACTTGGAATTATTGAGAAATGCCACAAAAAATAATACAGACTACAAATCAAGAGAAATGGTGCAGATGAACATTACCACCACAAGTTGTGACATATTGTCATAGTCTCCAACTTTTTCGCGGATGGTGTTTTGGCGTTTAGTGGATTGCATTTGGCATTCAGTGGGCAGTAGTTGGTGTTTGGATTTTGGCATTCGACAGTCAGTGTTTGCAACAAATGACAGGTGGTGACATTTTGCAACATTTAATCATCATTTAGTCGAGTAGAATTGGTAATTTGACTAATTAAGGTATTCCAGGTAAAATCATTATCTGACTAATTAAGGTATATAAAGTAGAATCATCCGGTCATTGAACTCAGTGGTTCAAGTACAAGCAGATTAGTGGAAATAATTAGATACGTTGATGTAGATTTCGCATTGAATGCTTGGCATTTGAATTATTATCAATGATGTATGGTTTTAGAATAAATTCCATTTTCCTCTTAAAGCATTTCTAAGTAAATATTATAGAATGTATTCAAGACCTTTGGTTATAGATTGTACAATATCCCCCGAGAGAAGTGCTGAGTTTTGTGATGCCATTAATTCACGTCAAATTGTCTTTTCACTTTTCCTTGGAATTGATGATCAATTTCCTTTTCCAGTAAATCCAATACATCAATGTCCTTACTATGTTATTTTTGTTGGTCCTTTCTCGGAAAATCAACACATGCAGGAAGATGGTTTTGATATTTTGAAAAAGTTTCGATGCAAAGAACTAAAAAATAATGCGATTGCCACAGTTAGAATCAATATATTCCTAGAGCTACATCCTTTGTATATAACTATTGGGAAATTCATGCAATATTCAAATCAGATCCTAGCTCTGAGCAAGACTTGAAACACACTTGTGTATTTAACATTTGATGTCAAAATTGACCTTCAGGTTCAATTTCCTTGTCTCGATGATATTTTAACATTTGATGTCACAATTGACCTTGGTTTTCGGTTAACTTCCAAAAAAGGTATTTTGTATGATGATTAAGCCTAATGGGCTTGGATTTTAAAATAAATAAAAGAAAGTAAAATTTTCAAGTTGAACTGCCAAGCTGTTTTCTGTGATTTTGATGACAAGATTAATGTTGCACCCACCCACCCAAACACCCACCCACCTACCTGCCCACATAGACAGAAATACTCACCAGCAGTGAAAGCCAACGGCAATGTAGCACTTTGAAAAAGTGTGATAATATTGATGATCCTCAATCAGGACTCATTACCTTATCGCTCGCTGTAAATTCATTATCTTTCAATCAATCCTACTCAAACTTGGTTTCAATATGCCGAGAAAAATGTCAATTGTCAAGGAAATATGGCATAAATCGTCTTTTATTATAAAATTCATGAATTCACAATTTTTATTTTATTCCTTAACTCTAGCTGTATGGGAAATAAGCACTTCTGTGCATGGGCAAATTGTCTTCTTCATTCTATGAAACAATTTAATAATATATTTTCTATCTGTTCAAAAGATGTTATTCATTTATACTTATCAAGTTTATCTATCTCAGTTTTTAACACAATGATTCAGTTATCTTAATATACATTGTGTTGTTTAAGCCTGTAACTATGGCCTTATTTTTTATTACATTTTTCCCTTTAGAGAACAATTTATAGCAGTATTATTATATGGTATTGATACTTTAGTCTTCAAAAAACAGAGAGGAGTTTTAATTGCAGAAAACAATGCCAGTTTCTAAGATAAATGGCAGGAAATTTTTAAATCCTTTGAGTCTCTTCATTGACAATTTAATTATATTCTCCTTGCATAGTATTTTTAAATTTCTGAAAGTGTCTGAACGAAATTAGTTCAGACTTAGAATATTTAAGAATAAAGGCATATTAAATGTAAAGAAATTCCAACAAATGATTGTTTAGAAGGGAATGAAAAAGTACGACTCTTATTTCAGATAATTACACTTACGATCTAACTTCTCACCCACACAGATATTACAATGTGTTTTACCTATAATTTGATATCACAAAACTGAACATAAAATTATAATGTCTCCCAAGATAATTTTGTTTGTGAATTCAGTAAAACATAGCTATATTTATATTTAAAAAAGCGAAACTTGCACATGTAGGGCGCAATAGGGCCTCTATTGTGTAATGTGACTTTATTCCATACTTAGAAGTGTTATAGGTAAATAACATGCAGGAATACACTCCCAAAATGCAATCTTATTTTCAACGCCGTTTCGGCACCAAATAGACTGACTAGTCCGGTGCCAAATTTTGGTGTCGAAAGGTTTCAGTGCCGGAACGGTGTCGGAACAGCGCTGAATTTTTTCGATGCTGAATCGGCGCCGAATTATATTGGCTGTGTGTAATTGATATTTGAAGTGAGGGGGTGACATCAGATCTAAGACATCACAAATTCAGAGAGTAGATACTGAGCCAGGAGATTTAACTATAAACCTTCATAATCTACTAAGTATAGAATAAATCAGTACTTTATTAAATGCTCGATTTTTGATACAGGGTATATTCCTCGGTAAATACAATACATCAACCCTCTGTCCTTACTGTCCCTTGGATTGATATATTGTATTTCCCTCAGATATACCCTGTATCAAAAACCTCCCATTAAATAACTTCTTTATAATTTGTACATACATAAGACAATCTATATAGTGGAGTAATGTAAAGAGGAGATGTGCCATTATAATCCAATATGAAA